CTAATGATTAAAAAGCTGATTAAACTCAAACTATGGGGTCATTTTTGTCCTATCTGAGCTCATAATTGTACAATCTAACATGTTTTTTTTACCTTTAAAGAATAAATAAARGGCTGCATTACATTTCCAGGCTGTGAAAGACAATTGGTTCTTCTTACTTTGTTAATTTAATATTATGATTGAAAATCTCTAAGCTCATTTGTTAGGTTTGTTGATTTGACAACTTATTGAACATCTTTGTGTTTGATTTTTAAACTTAAAAACTATTCCAGGGAACAACGACAGAGGGTATAAAAATGAGCATGGAGGGTGAATGAGAGAACTTGTGCRGTGAGTGAAATATAATGTCAACACTTGGCTTTAATACAATCATTCAGACACGCAACACTCATCTATTAAACAGCTTTGCTGTTGTTTGRTTTAGTCTGAGAGTCAGACCCATTACATATTCTGAGTCTGAACAGATCACACTATGGTTCTGTAAAACTTTGACATAAAAGTCGACAGGCGTAATCCATTCAGAAAAGGAATGCTACTTTAAGTATACTTTAATTTAGCTTTGGTTCATTTGCATTACCGGTTTTTACAAACTACTAATATTAAGTTGACCTCATGTTTATTTATTGAATCGATTTCAWCCTTTTGCTTATTGTCCTGGTTTGGTAATCTTTCTCTGAAAAACAAAAACTCCCTGAACCAAATAGTGAAGTGGTCCAGTAAACTGACTGGAAAGATGCAATTAAATCCAGAATCCCTGTACTCCAGGCAGGTCCAGAGATTGTCTGGCTCCATTTTGAAAAATGCGTCTCATCCTCTGTTCAGGCTGCTTCCATTAGGATGTAGATACTTAGTGCCAAAATGTAAAACTAAGGATTTTAAAATCAGCTTTGTCCTTGTTGCAATTGCTTTTTAAACTCAAGTTAACATAGTATAACATAATATCAACTAGTCTTTTTATTCTTCTTTGTTTTATATAGTTTTATTTGATTTGATCTTGTTTCTAATGTTTGATTTTTATATAGTAGAGTTTTATGAGCACCTGGTCACTTTTTAATCATGTGTCCACTGTATATCCATGTCATATGTCTGTGTGTCATGTGTTTGTCTTGGAACGAAGCTGACTCAATTTCCCTGTAATCAAATTTACCTGTGGGTACAAATAAAGTTGATTGATTGTTCAGAAGTCATGGTCAAGAAAGTGCTTCTTTAGATGATAAACACAGACACCAACACTGCACTTGTGATATAAAGCATCTATAATTTAAAGGCACTGCTCTGTTCAAAATCTCCTTCATTATAAGGAGCCCTGGCTGACATGTAAAATTAGACATTTATCCAAGCATTCTCTTTTAAAATATATAGTATTCATCTTATTATGACTGCTGTTAGTGTAAGTCAGTGGAGCTGCTAAACACTTGATAGTACAAAGCACCGCCTTTTTGTACAAAGCTCCACCCTGGAGTAGGGTTGGGCGATATTGGCTAAAAAATTAATCACGATTAATTCTGGCATTTAGCTGATAATGATTAATATGATGATAAATCCCCTGGAGTCCCTGGACCCCTGCATGTCCTGGCCCATGACCAATTTAAATCACTCTAGTGGGAAAGATTTGCTCTCTCTCTTTATTATTTCTCTCTGCTCCAAATTGTGTCTAAAGCACAGATTTCATGCTATATATCCATTTCTAATTGTGCTGCTAGACCAAGTAAAACCAGAGTTATGATAATGAAATTACAGAGATTTAAAAAAAAATGTTTGTTATATTTGAAGTGGAGAGGAGCACAGAGCGGACTGACTGAAGAAATCTCCAGTCAGTCTTACAGGTGGCGTTAATCGTATTAATCATCAATCGATTAAAATTTTTCTGATGATTAATTGCACATGATATGATTTTGCCCAACTCTACCCTGGAGCTCATTCTGCAGTCGAGCTCCCGCCCCACAGACTCTCCTGAAGCATTGTTGTGAAGACCTGCTGAAGTGGGAGTGTCTGAAACAGTAGGAGGTTCTTAAAGGCACAGTGTGTAGGATTTTGTCAATTCTTTTAGCCGAAATTGTTTCAGAGTTTCTGAATTAATTACACAAAAAATTACAACAATTTCTTGCCTTTGTTGTTTCAAAAGAGTAAAGTTGACTTAAAATGGACAAAGAGAGAGTAACACATTTTGTTACTATGCTCCTGTTTATTTGACGTGAAAACAATGTTTCTCAACCAACAACAGCTGGGGTCACAGTTCTCTGCTGCTGGTATTTTGTGGGTCAAAAGCTGAAAAGTTTGGGAACCACTGAGATAGATTATGATGCAAAGTCACATTTATTTTGATATCTACAGTATTTCCATAACAACTGAAGGTAACAGTTATGCTGCGTTCACACCGAACGCGATTTCAGCTTCAAAATCGCAGCCAACGCTGAAGTTGGTCGCTCGTGCAC